CTGGCAAAGGCAGGAAAAGGTGCACAACAGCAAACGACGATAGAAGAATTAAGAGGCTGTGCCTACGAGACAGAGGAAAATCATCGGGGTGTATACAAGATGAAATGGCGCAATGCAGTGTGAAGTTGAGTGCAAGGACTGTTCGGCGCAGACTGCAGGAATTTGGCCTAAAATCTAGAATTCCACGAAAAAAGCCACCCATATCTGTCAAACCAAGCTTGAAAGGACTAAACTGGGCTAAAACCCATGTTACTGTAAGTATGAACTGACATGGTGATCATTTTTGTATATCTCGTTTTTTATGGTGATAATTTTTATATATCTCATTTTTTTCTATGGTGATCATTTTTGTACATCTCATTTTTTTATGGTGATCATTTTTGTACATCTCGGTTTTTTTCTACGTGTTTCACTTTTCTTCTTTGTAACTGCTATTCTAACAGCAACTCCTTCCTAAAAGTTATTGCATTACATTCCTGATTAAATTAACTTTCCATTGATATATAATTTTATGGTGCTGCTCCAAAAAAAAAAGTGGTGTTATTAGCCATCAAACCTCAAACATACACTTTTCCCAAAAGGTTTCCACAATTTTGGCCACTGCTGTGTGAATAAATGACAGTTCCTTTTTGTTTAAAGAAAGAATCTCTTGGCAACTGCTGAGCCCCGTAACCTTGTAAATTGAAAATAGGTGTTTTTATTTCTGTGGGTTTGGGGACAGGAGGTTAAATAACCACCAGACTGGACATAAATCACTCTTTGGAGGAGAGTTTGTCATCCTTATTTTGTTTGATTTCTTATTAAATAAATAGAAATATTCTAGGTAGTCCTCAACTTGACAATGGTTCGTTTAATGACCGTTCGAAGTTACAGCGGTACCGGAAACAGTGTCTGAGGACCCTTTTTCACACTTACGGCCGTTGCAGCATCCCCGTGGTCACGTGATCAAAATTCGGACGCTTGGCAACTGACTCGCATTTATGACGGTTGCAGCGTCCTGGAGTCATGTAATCCCCTTTTATGACCTTCGGAGAAGCCAAATCAATGGGAAAGCCCAATTCACTTAACAACCAGGTTACTAATTTAACGACTGCAGTGATTCGCATAACAACGGCGGCCAGAAAGGTTGTAAAGTGGGGCAAAACCCAGTTAACAAATGTCTCACTTAACAATAGAAATGTTGGGCTGAATTGTTGTCGTAAGTCGAGGACTAACTGTAATTGGCTTTATTGTTGCCCGTTGTATCTGGCTTTCCAATTTTGAGCACAGCGAAGATGTTAAAACAGGAATCGCTGATTCAAAACAGCTGGTTGGCAGGGGTGAAAAATGCGCTCTTTAAAAAGGAAAAAAAAGTTTATTATGAGATTAAATAGAAATAGAAACCGAAGTGAGAGAAGAGAAAGAAGGGAGAAGAGAGATAAGAAGAAGAAGAAGAAGAAAAAAAGAATGACTTTCCATTTTTTTTCAGGGCATAGCCTTGAACTTCTGCTTTATATTTCTCGCTCTTTGAAACCATTTCTATAACAACCGAGTAATTCTGGTCATCATAACCTCAAAACAAGAGTTTCATCTATTTTTTTTTAAAAAAAATTTCAGTCTCAAGGACAAAAACCCAGAAGCCATTTTCCAAGTAGGAAAGAAAACTAAGATTAAGTTTCATCTCTTTTTAATTAAAGTCCAATTTGCCATCTCGGGTGTCTCCATCCTCTTGATTATCCGTTCTTCCACTGTGAGAATCCGTTCGTCTTTCCCTCGTTGTACACACACACGGTCCTCGGCTTATAAACCGCAATTGACCCGCAACCTTTCTGCAGCTAAGGGAGACCGTCCTTAACTGAGTTTTGCCCCATTTCCCACCTTTCCTTGCCACGGTTGTGGCATTTGTTCAGTTAGCAACACGGTTGTTAAGTGAATCTGGCATCCCCTGTCGACTTTGCTTGTCAGAAGCTCGCAAAAGGGGATCCAGGGACCCCGGGACGCTGCGACCGTCATAAGCATGAGTCAGCTGCCAAGCGTCTGAATTTTGATCACGTGACCCTGGGGAGGCTGCAACGGTCGTAAGTGTGAAAAAGGGGTCCTAAGTCACTGTTTTTCAGTGCCGTTGGAACTCTGAATGGTCACTAAACAAATTGGAAGTCCAGGGCTACCTGTACTTGGCCGATTTCGAAGCTTGTTTATTATAGAACCAGTTAATAAAACATTTCTCTCTCGTCTCCCCATTCCTCTTTCTTCTCCCCCCCCCCCACACACATTTTAAAGGCTCGGATCAAGAAGATCATGCAGACGGATGAAGAAATTGGCAAAGTGGCCGCTGCAGTCCCAGTGATCATTTGTATCCTCTTTGTCCTCCTAGGGGGTGGATGGGGGGGGGTGAGGTGGGGTAGTAGGAGGTCTTCTATGTTCTGGAACTGCAGATATTCTAGGACTGGGGGGTCCTTGGTGGTTTTCCTGCAGACGTTTCGCCACCCAACTAGGTAACATCATCAGTGCTGGAAGGGAGGGGAGTTTGAGGAAGAGGACGAGGAGAAGGAGGAAAAGGACTGTGGGGTCCTTGATGCTCTGAGCTTGGTGGTTTTCTTGCAGACGTTTCATGACCCTTCTCTGTGGGAGCTCCCACCCTCTGGAATGAACTGCCCCCAGAGATCAGGGTGATCCCTGATCTCCCTTCCTTCCGCCGCGCCCTTAAGACATGGTTATTCCAGCTTGCGGGACTGGCCTAGGGGAAACTTTTAGAGGGGGTTTTAATTATATTTTAATTAGATTAAATTTAAATATTTCCTTTTTAACTAATTTTTAAATTTGTAATGTTATTTGTGTATTTTTACCCGATTGTTAGCCGCCCTGAGTACGCAAGGAGAAGGGCGGGATATAAATTTAATAAAATAAATAAATAAATAAATAAACTTCATCAGTGCTAGAAGGGAGGGGGGTTGCAGAAGGGAGGAGGAGGAGGACTGTGGGGTCCTTGGGGCTCTCTGAGCTTGGTGGTTTTCTTGAGGACATTTCATGACCCAACTAGGTAACATCATCAGTGGCAGAAGGGAGTGGGGTCTGTATGGGAGAGAGGAGGAGGAGGAGGATTGTGGGGTCCTTGGTGCTCTCTGAGCTTGGTGGTTTTCCTGCAGACGTTTCCTGACCCAACTAGGTAACATCATCAGTGCTTGTAGACAGCAAACCCCACTCCCTTCCAGTACTGGCGACGTTACGTAGTTGGTAGAGATGGTTTGAAAACCGCCTACCTTGACTGGAGGAAGGAATGGAGTCGGTCTTGCTGTCCCCCTTAACTCTGGGCTGCAGCGCGGGCGCTAGAACTGTTCCTGGAGTCGCTGTTGAAGACCGCCTGTCACGTCACCCAGTCCAGGAACGCCAAAACGATGACAACATCTCACCTGTGAGTATATCGGCTGCAGATCCCCTCTCTTTTTAGGAACAGATGCCCCCTTGCTCGTCAGAGCAACTGCCATCGTTGTAGGCCTTGCTGAGCACCAAGGGACTGACCTATCAGGGGTCTCCCTTCTTTGTAACCATGAGGACTAGAATCCTGTCTGAGGCTTTAAGGGGAAGGGCACTGGTTGGTTGTAGAACAAGGCAACGTATGTTATTTTTCTCCAGAATTAAGTACAGGCTAACCACGGACCCTCTCCAACCTCTGTTGGCTGGGGATGATGGGATCTGTGATCCAATGCCTCTGGCCAGCTCTAGAACCCATAATTTTTGCAGGGTATTCAGTTCGCTCCAGTGTCGTCAAAAGAGACCAGTTTAAAGTCATGGCTTCAACACGGCTCTCTAGTTCATGTCAAGCTTTGATTTTCTACAACTTGGCTTTGGACATCCCTGCTTGAATTAAGCCACGATTACTAAATGCCTGATTTATATTTAAAGGGCGAAGCTACAACTTAGTGGTCTGGAGAGACTTGTTAAAGCTTTGAAGAGTTCTCTGAGATTGGACAAAGGAGAAAAAAATAAAAGTTCTAGGTCTAGGACATTATTTCAAGAGACTTAAGATCCAGATTATTAGCAGCAAAAGGAACGTAACATTGGTTTATTATTTGATCAAGGTTAAAATAGATAGGTTGTCATATCTGGCAAGCCTTAATGGAATTTCGCCGATCAGAGGTGAACAATAAACAGTTGTGTTTTAAGAGGTAATTGTTGTGATGAGGAGGGAAGTTCTTTCTTTATACGCTTCTTTTCTTTTTCTTTGCTAACTTCTGAGTTTTTCTTTCCTCTCTGTTTCTCTTTCAGTTTCTGTCTTTTCTCCACTTCCTATTTTTAATTTTTTTCTTTTTTTAAGTTGGCCTTAGTTTTTCAGACTAGCGGAGTGGTTTTTACTAACATTGCTGTTAGAAAAATAAAATAATAAAAAATAATATCTCGGGGATTTGGAACCTGCTGTTCACTCCTAAGATGGCTTCCTGGGTACAGGTAGTCCTCGACTTACAACAGTTCGTTTAGTGATCATTCGAAGTTACAATGGCTTGGCGGGAAAAAAATGACTTAACGGCCGTTATTCACACTTACAGCATCCCCGCGATCGGGTGATCAAAATTCAGACCCTTTTTCACACCATCGCTGCAGCGTCCCCAGACTCATATGACCAAAATGGAAAGGCTTGGCCACTGACTTGTATTTATGACGGTCACAGTGCCCCTGGGGGGGTGTCACGCGACCCCCTTTTGCGACCGTCTGGCAAGCACAGTCAACAGGAATGGCCGTGTGACTCATTTAGCAACTGCAGTGATTCGCTTAACAGCTGGGGCAAGAATGGGGCAAAACTGGGGCAGAATTCACTGTAACAACTGCCTCACTTAGCGACGGAAACTTTGGGCTCAAATTGTGGTCGTAGGTTGAGGACTGCCTGTCATTAGAAATACATAATACAAAAATCATTTGGAATTCACTGTTCACTGATAACGGGTGGCTTCCTGGGGGTGCCACAAACCCCTTGCCCTCCTCCAAACTGGGGAGCAGATCTCTGCAGGTTTAAAAAGCAAAATCCTCCTTTCTCACCTTGCCAGCTTGGGCGGGCCAAATCCGGGTAACGCGGCCGTGTGAATTTTGCAGGAAACAATGCATAGAACAGGAGCAGCAGTTTGACTTCCTGAAGGATCTCGTGGCTTCCGTCCCCGACATGCAAGGCGACGCCGAGGACAACCACCTGGAAGGGGAGAAGGTTTCCCGCAGGTAGGTCGCGAAAATCGACCCCTGGCAAGCGGCGATGGAAAGATCGGGTGGATCCGGAACCTTCCGGAACTCTCTTCGAGCGAGATGGGAAATACAAGTAGTCCTCCACTTAACAACGGTTCGTTTAATGTCTGTGGAGATTTTACATCATTCCAAAGATGCTTTTTCATGAAGCAACTTGGACTTTCCTGTTTTTCTTTGAAGATGTTTCGCTTCTCCTCCAAGAAGCTTCCTCAGCTCTGACTGGATGTCAGGGGAATGGAAGGATTTATATTCCTTGCTGGTCATTTGCATTCTTTGAGAGAGTCGTTGAGGCCACTTGGAGGTTTACCTGTGTCCTCAGGGTCGCCTGAGTGGTGCAAATGGGTGTGCAACACACAGTCCTTTCAGCAGTTCCAAGAAGGCTCCACACCCATTTGCACCACTCAGGTAAACCCTGAGGACACAGGTAAACCTCCAAGTGGCCTCAACGACCCTCTAAAAGGAGGCAAATGACCAGCTCTCTGCAAGGAGTATAAATCTTTCCATTCCCCACCATCCCAGTCAGAGCTGAAGAAGCTTGGATGAGAAGCAAAACGTCTTCAAAGAAAAACAAGAAAGTCCAGTTGCCTCGTGAAAAAGCACCTTTCGGACAAACAGTTTGTTTAATGACCATCCGAATTTTTACAACTGAAAAAAAAAACTCCCACAACTGTTTTCAAACTTAACACCCGTTGCGGCCTCCCCGTGGGTCACGTGATCAAAATTCCGACAGTTGGCGACTGTCTCATATTTACGACGGTCGCAGTGTCCCCGGGTCACGGGATCCCCTTTTGCAACCAGGAAAGTCAAGGGGAAAGCCAGATCCACTTAACAATGGTGTGACTGACTTAACGACGGCAGGGATTCACTTAAAACACCGTGGCAAGAAAGGTGGTAAAAATGGGGCAAAACTCACTTAACAGCTGTCTCGCTTAGCAGCAGATGTTTGGGGCTCGGTTGTCGTAAGTCAAGGACTACCTGTGTGAAATTAAATGTGGGTGGCTGGAAGGCTGAGGGATCCACGTGAACATTTTGGATGCCTGGCTGAGGAATTCTGGGAGTTGAAGTCCACAAGTCATAAAAGGGCCAAGTTTGAAGATCCGTGGTCTGGATCTAAACCCACACTTTCATCAAAATGGCCGACTGAGGAATTCTGGGAGTTGAAGTCCACAAGTCATAAAAGGGGCCAAGTTTGAAGACCCCCTGACTTAACAGCTGTGGCAAGGGAAATCGTTAACTCACTTAACAAATGTCTCAGTTAACAACAGAAATTTGGGGCTCCGTTGTGGTTGTAAGTCGAGGACTACCTGTTTTGGTCCACCTTTTTTTATAAAACCTTATTTTTTTTTTCCCCCTCTTCTGCGCCAGGGGCCGGAAACCTGGCAGTGGACGAAGGAACGGCGGCACAGCGGGCAAAGGGAAGGATGCCAAGCAATCCGGAACAGACTCTGAGCAGGACGTAAGTTGGCAGCAGAGTGTGGAAGAGCGGAGTCTGTGTAATACAATTGAAGACCTTTTTATTATTATTATTTTTATAACCAGATTTTATTAATTTTTTATAACCACAAATCCTCCATATTTTATCCGCAATATGTTGCTTGGGTTCCAATATTTAGCTTACTGATACCTGTTAAACTCCTTTCTCTCTACCTTGTTTTTCTTGCCATTGATAAAATGTATCCCGTGTTCTAAAGCAGGGGTCTTCAAACTTGGCCCTTTTATGACTTGTGGACTTCAACTCCCAGAATTCCTCAGCCAGGCATGCTGGCTGAGGAATTCTGGGAGTTGAAGTCCACAAGTCATGGTGCTGAACTTTTAAGACGGGTGGCAAACTATGTGATCCCGGGACACTGCGACCGTCATAAATACGAGTTGGTTGCCAAGCCTGTGAATTTGGATCATGTGACCGCAGAGAAATGCTGCAACGGTCGTCAGTATGTAAAATGGTCATAAGTCACTTTTTTTCCAGTGCTGGTGTGACTTTTGAATGGTCCCTAAATGAACTGTTGTAAGTCGAGGACTACTGTATAGAGGGGGTTGGACTAGAAGACCTCAAAGGTCCCTGGAAGCTCTGCTATTCTGTTTTGTTCTGTTCTTTTTTTACAGGACGATTCGGAAGACAGCGAAAGCAATGGAGAAGAGGAAGCTATGCAGACGATCCCCTCTACACAACCGGCTACACATCTCTCTTCGTAATTAACATTTTTCTCATTTTTCTCCCTTCTCACAGTCTCTTGCTGATTGGTCCAATGTCCCCTAGCTGGCTTTCCTGACTTAATTCAGGAGTAGAACTCACCGTCTCCTGAGGATTGGCCCAAAGTCACTCAGCCAGCTTTCATCCCTCAGGCGGGACTAGAATTCACAGTCTCCTGGTGATTGGCCCAACATCACCCAGCTGGCTTTCATGGCTAAAGTAGGACTAGAATTCACAGTCTCCCACTTTCTAACCTAGGGCCTTCTCCACTAGACCAAATGGCTCTTTTAATTTAATCCCACAGGGACAAGTATCTTGATTTTTCGGCGGGTGGCGCCTAAAACGTGGCTGATTCTTCTCTCTTTTTCTCTCCTTCCCACAGAGGCCCTGCACCCTATCTACATTTTACACCCCCTCCCGTATCCGCTGTCCCCTTGCCCGTACCGGCTCCAACAGGAACAGTCCCAATTGCACTTCCGCCCGCATCCCTGGCGCCGGTCCAGGCAGGTGAAGAGGAAGACTATGACTCTTAACACCCAGTTCCGTTTTCACTGCTGCCATTCGGGGTGGGAGGGGGGTGGGCGGGAGGGGATCCTAGCGGGTTTGAAAGGGGCTGTTCTTAAATTTATTAAAAAAGAGAAAAGTCTTCAAGAGGTGATCCCGTTGTTTTTTTTCCCCCACACACCTGGGAATGGCAGAAGGAATTACAGATGGTCCTCGGCTTACGGCCACCATTGAGGCCAAAATTTCTGTTTGCCGAGTGAGACGTTTGCTGCATTTTACGACCTTTCTTGCCACCGTTGTTAAGTGAATCGCTACACGGTTGTTAAGCCAGCCTGGCTTCCCCATTGACTTTGCCTGTCAGAAGGTCGCAAAAGGAGATCCCGGGACACTGCGACCGTCATAAGTATGAATCAGTTGCCAAGCGTCTGAATTTTGATCACGTGACCCTGGAAATGCTGCAACGGTTGTTAAGTGTGAAACGTGGTCATAAGCCCCTTTTTTCCATGCCATTGTGATTAGCCACTTAACAAACTGTTGTAAGTCGAGGACTATCTATCCTACTATGTTCTAATGGGCCTACTCTCTTTTTAATCAACAATTCGAGCCAACGTAAAATTGGAGGTGTTTTCCCAGCAAGTTAGGGAGTAATGACTCTATTAGCACAACACGTTCAACCTGCTTTGTGGTTCAGCCCCTTTGCCACGTTCACAAACACACTGAGTCATCAACTTACCCAACCGGCTGGCTTTGCAACCGACGCTAAACCACACAGGCAGAAAGAAATCGGCCGGATTAAAACTACAAATACAGCTTTCATTGACCCCTTTTTTGCAAGTCGGCCTTTTTCCTGACCTCCAGAAAACTGGTCAGAAAAAGCAAGCTAGGTATTTTAAAAACAAATTTGCTGATTGTCTCAATTTTTCCAGCTTGGCTTTATTTTGTACAGGTGGTCCTCAACGTACGACTGCAGTTGAGCCCAAAATGTATGTTGCTAAGTGAACACAAGGGCATTTTGCCCCATTTTACGACATTTCTTGCGAACCGAAATGCTGCCGCTGTTAAATTAGTCACACACAGTTGTTAAGTGAATCTGGCTTCCCCTGTTGATTTTGTTTGTCAGAAGGTCACAAAAGGGGATCGTGTGCCACCGTCGTAAATGTGAGTCGTCGAGCATCCAAATATAAATCACGTGACCCTGGGGATGCTGCAACGGTCATAAGGGTGAAAAATGGTCATTAAGTCACTTTTTTCAGTGCCGTTGTGACTTTGAACGGTCACTAAACAAACTGTTGTAAGTGGAGGGTTACCTGTAAAGCAGTCCTTGACTTAGCAACAGCCACTTGTTTAGTGACCGAAGTTACAGCGGTGCTGAGAAAAAAATGATCAAATTTATTTGCTGTCCACCTTGCGGTTCAGCTGAGAAAACATGGCTGATGGCCAGTCCTCGCACTTACAACCATCGCAGTATTCACACGGTTACCGGATCAAAATTTGGACCCTTGGCTATCAGCATGTAATTTAACACAGTTATGGCATCCTGAGGTCTCGTGACAGCCATTTGCGGCCTTCACAGGAAAATCAATGGAGTAAGCTGGATTTGCTTAGCAACCGCGAGACAAGATGGCTGCCGTGTGGCACCTCTTTTAGTGAGCTCCTCATCCTCTTAGTTACTTTTATATGGTTGTAAAATAGTTCATTTTTATCTCATTTTTAATCTAATATTAACTATTAATTAGTAAAGTTAGTTTTCTTTTACTAGGAGTAGTTATTTTAGGATTTTAGAACTAGGATTAGATTTTAGAGGACAAGTTCTGGAATTCATCAGCTCCAAGCATTTGCCGATGAATAATAATAATAATAAAGTTGGAAGGGACCTTGGAGGTCATTTAGTCCAACCCCCTGCTCAGGCAGGAAACCCTATACCATTTCAGACCCTATACCATTTCAGACTGTATGGCTATACAGTCTCTTCTTAAAAACTTCCAGTGTTGAACCACCCACACCTTCTGGAGGCAGGTTGTTCCACTGGTTAATTGTTCTCCTTGTCAGGAAGTTTCTCCTTAGTTCTAGGTTGCTTCTCTCCTTGATTAGTTTCCATCTGTTGCTTCTTGTCCTGCCTTCAGGCGCTTTGGAGAAGTGGGAGAATCTTTTAAAATCCTTTAAACCACCCAAGCATGCCAAAACAAAAGATAACAGCAAAAGCAAAAAGGGACTCGAAAGTTTTAAAAGGAGGCATAAATTGGATAATAATCATTTGACAACTGCAGTGATTCATTTAACAATATATATTTAAAAATAGACATTTTTTTAATGTTTAAAAAAATAAAAAGGAACATTAATTTTTTTATTAAAAGCCAAGCTGGAGAAGAGATGAATTACATTTCAAGCACTGGAATCTTTGGTGGAGGGCACGGATCTCTCTTGTGGGGGAGCCACAAATTATTTTTTTTGTAGCTGGTTTGCTGCCCATATGTCCCCCCCCCACTCCAAAAGCCGTTTCTCTGAAATATACCCTGTTTCAGAAAAAAAGGCTAAAATTACATCTTGAGAGCAAGCAGAGCTGGGATTTGATCCTGAGCAAAAATGATTTTTTTTTCTGGTTATTTTTAGAGGTGGAGGAAAATAAAAGGGGGCTTGGTCAGGGAAAAACTAGAATATAAGTAAAGGGCTTCCTGCCTGAGTAGGGGGTTGGACTAGAAGACCTTCAAAGTCTTCGACTTACGACACAGCTGAGCCCAAAATTTCTGTGGCTAAGCAAGACAGTTGTTAAGTGAGTTTGTCCCCCTTTTACAACCTCTCTTGCCACAGTTGTTAAGTGAATCACTACAGTTGTTAAGTTAGAAACATGGCTGTTAAGTGAATCTGACTTTGCTTGTCGGAAGGTTACAAAAGGGGATTGCATGACTCCCCCGGTACGCTGTGACCGTCATAAATATGAGTCAGTTGCCAAGTGTCTGAATTTTGATTATGTGATCTTGGGGATGCTGCAACGGTCCTAAGTGTGAAAAACGGTCATGTCACCTTTTTCAGTGCTGTTGCAACTTTGAACGGTCACTAAATGAACGGTTGTAAGTCAAGGACTACCTGTAGTGTATATTCTACAAAAAAAAAAATCTTAAAAAGCCACGTCCTGATAAGATAACCTTTATTGTCATTTTTTACTGTGAGCACAATGGCACGTTAAAAATGAATTTGTTTTCTGCCTCTCAAAAGCGTAACACATGCATAACTCACATATAAACATGCTATATACATATGTATATACCTACACACTTACATACAAATACATATAAATATCAATCATAATATTAATATTATTTAGATCTCCTAAGCAAAGTCCCTGAAGGAAAGCTGCAACATTTTATTATATCCCTCACGGATTATTGCAATACCTGTATCGCTTTCTTGATCTACCTCTCCTTGATATCTTCGCCTAGTTGGCTGGTGGATCCCTTCTCTGTTCAGCGGAGACGATGACCTGCTACGGGCGCTTGCAGGAGACCTTGGGCTCCGAGCACGGGACGGAGACATCTGTGGATTCCCAAGGGATGTTTTCTGTGGCTGGCCTCTCCTCATTGCACAGACCTCTGCATGTCACAAAGCTGCAAGGAAAGAAACCCAGGCTTTAGCAGGGCATAACCAACTGAGCAGCTGAAGAGAAGTCAGCAACTTTTAAACCGGCTTCCCTCCAAAATATTAACCTGCCCTGCACTAATTTTTCATAAAAAGGGAAATCAATGAGAAGACACGTTCCCCAAGGCAGCCTAGTTTTACACCTCCATCTTTGCTTACTCACTGCATGCCTCTTTTCCGGAAGCTGTGGTTCCCCTTCAGCGCATAAACACTTTAGCAGATGTTAGCTGCTGCTTTTACAGTTCCAAAGTAGTAGGATCCGCTCAAGAAACCCCTTCAGTGTTTGCCCCGATAATTTGCTTCCGTTACCTACCTTGAGGCCACTAATAACAAGCGTAGATTGTAAGATGACTCTCTCCTTCTGTATCGGCAAAGTAGTAGCTACTTTTTTAAAGATAAAACCAGAGATCAAACTGTTTAATATTTAGGAAAGAAAAAAAATGACTTGAAAGTAAGATCTGAAAATGACTTGAAAGTAAGATCTGAGGTTATGCTCTGAATGCATATAGCTTTTTCTGCATAATCTATTCTCCGACCTAGATGGATACTAATGAAAGCAGTGCCCCAAATATATTTTGGTATTTAATATTTTTTAAAAATATGCCTTTGATGGTTTCTATGTTCTTTCCTTTGGGCATGTTTCTTACTGGCATACCAAAGAGCCAGTCATTGCTGGAAACTAGCTTAAACTAAAATCAGGAAAAACACATAGCCTGTTCTAAGTTCATTCTCAACAAATTTTTTGAAGGAAGGCATCCCTTTTGTCTTGTATCAGATTTTATTGCTAATATATTATTTCTCTTCTGACTGCTTTGTTTCTTGGTATTGGGCTTCTTATCACCTCAGCTGCGGGTTTATGCCTGGATAGGAGAAGGCATGACACACACACACAGACACACAACGTCGCAACCGCCAAATCTTCCCTCACCTGCGCAGCTTCGGCCCACCTGGCCGTGATGAGGCGCCTCGCGTTGCTTCCCGCCGTTTCCATGGCAACCCCTCCGGGAGCCGCGGCCGGGTCCCGGATGGCGAGGTGGGGGGGGGGGAAACAGCGGCGCGCGCCCACTGTGTGCGCGTGCGCGCGAGCGCGAGCGCGCTCCCTTTCCCGCCCGGTGCCACCCAAGGACCTCCTGGTGAGTCCCTTCTCCGCGCCAGCCTCGACCGTGATTGGCTGCTGCGAAAACCCGTCGCTCGGATTGGCTGAGAGGCCTCTCTCCTCTCCGAGAGGCGGGGGCATTTAAAAAGTCGGCGGGCTTCTCGGGCTGAGTGCAAAAAGAAAAGCGAGCGCGCTGCATAGGCGGCAGACGCCGCTACTACCGCGTCTTTTTTTCCTCAAAAGAGACGATGTTGCGGGGCGCCGGGGGGGCAAAAATGTCTCTCTCTCCGGCGCTCCCGCGGCCCAAGTCCTCGAGCTCGAGGCCGGGCAGGGC